TTCCAAAAATTTGAGAGGCACGAGGTGTGGAGCACGCTTTCAGAAGTTTTAAAAGAGCAACACTCCGATGCAGAAACTACAGAACCCGAACCACCAAAAAAGAAAATGAACCTTCTGCTGGTGACATCTGACTCAGGCCTTGGCTACATTTGCAAGTTATAGTGCATTAAATCAGCCCTGGGCACCCTAACTCCTGAGGTGTCCACACTGGTAAGACACTTAGAGTGGCTGGACTCCGCGGCTGGAGTGCCCCTGGTAATCCACCTGCATGAGAAGCAAAGAGCTTTCCGTGCCGCGCCCGGAGTGCTGGGGTGTCATTGTGGACGAAGTGTTGCATTACACGCTATGATTGGCCTCCGGAAACATCCCATAATCCCTTGAAGTCAAGTGGCCACTCTCGTCATTGTTTTGAACTTGGCTGCAGGCATGCTTTCAAAGCTCCGTTTCTTGCAGCTGGCATGCTTATCTGCTCCGGGACACAAAGCAAACTATCAATGTGGAATGCTCCTGTTGCAGGGGCAGGCGTTTGTGCGTGTGTGTGAGAGAGAGGCAGGGGGCGGGGGATGATGTTGGGGTTTCCCCCTGCCGCTGTCTAAACTTACAAGACAGCACAAGACAGAATGCTAACATACTCTCTGCCCCCCCCAAACACATTGTCTCTCCCCCCACATCACACAATACACTCCCTGTCGCACTCCACCCTCCACATTTGAAAAGCAGTTGGCAATCTAGTAGGATGCCTTGGAACAATGGGATTGGGAAACCTGCATCATGTGATGCTGTGCCTGCCCCATTAGGCATTGCAAACCCCTTCCAAAGCACGCTGCAGCCACTTGCACACTGGGATAGCTACCACAATGCACTGCTCTCTGTGGCATTGCAAGAGCTGCTAATGTGGCCACGCCACTGCACTTGCAGCTGATAGTGTGAACACATGGCAGCGCTTTCCCTGCTTCTGTCTCTGAGGGCTAGTTTAACTCCCGGTGCTCTACATCTGCAAGCGTAGCCATAGCCTTGGGTGATGAAAATGAACATTGGTCTGCACTGCTTTGGATCGTTATCATCGGCATGGACGTATGTTCTCTGGGATGGTGGTTGAAGCATGAAGGGACATATAAATCTTTAGCGAATCTGGCATGTAAATATCTTGCAACGCTGGCTACAACAGTGCCATGTGAATGCCCATTCTCACTTTCAGGTGACATTGTAAACAAGAAGGGGGCAGCATGATCTCCTGAAAATGTAAACAAACTTGTTTGTCTGAGCGATTGGCTGAACAAGAAGTAGGACTGAATGGACTTGTAGTTTCTAAAGTTATACATTGTTTTATTTTTGAATGCAATCATTTTTTGCACATAACTATAAATGTATAAGTTCTACTTTCATGATAAAGAGATTGCACTATTGTACTTGTATTAAGTGAATTGAAAAATACTATTTATATAAATGGAATTCTATTATTGTTTAATATTTTTGGATATTTTCCACATTTTCAAACATATTGATTTCAATTACATCATAGAATACAAAGTGTACAGTGCTCACTTTATATTTTTTGTTATAAATATTTGCACTGTAAACATAAAAAATAGTATATTTCAATTGATGAATTTCCCATAAAAATGAACCTGATTTACACTGTAAGCTCTTAGAGGCAGGGACATATATATGTAAAATGCCTACCTCCACAGGCCCCAATTCTTGAAGAGGACATCTAAACACTACCACAAGAGAAATAAATAATAATGATAGGGAAACCCCCAGTTTTTAAAGGAGCGAAAAGGCACCAGATTAGCTAAAAATAAATACCTAAAATAGATATCAAAACTGCTAAACATACAAACATAATGGGTAAATGAAGCCCTTTCATGAATGGTAAATGCACAGAGAGTTTGGGTCAACACTTTTAAACTATCGATTGGGGAGTGGAAACTCCCTCCATTGTGCACTGCTAGATGTAATCCAGGGATAGAGCGCAGAAAACAAATCCTTGGGGGTAATTGGACGACTTACAGAACTGATAATGGGGCACATAGACCATCATTTCAAAGTAACTAGTATGAATCCAGCCCAGACTGAGATTTTCAAAGTCAATGAAGAGAAATTGCAGAACTTACCTCTTGATTATTTAATCACTCTTATCATGACTAGCACTAACTTCCACAGGAAAAATAATAGAATGCTCACTAGCATTCAAATACATTATAAATCCAGACATAGTTTGGCAAGGGGCACTGCCAAGCAGGAAACACAGGTGCAGAACCTCTTCAAACTGAAATCAGGTGCATCATGATGGAAGTGATTCACTCAGTTATAAGGGAATTGGGACAACTATCCGCACTCTGTGAGAAGCTCCTCTCGAGTGCTCTATGAAGCAGCTTCTATTGTGTGCTCACTTTCCTCCCTCAAAGATAATCTGCCGAATATAGTGGTTTCAAGACAGGGAAAATATCTGGGTGGGAAAAGCCCCATTAATTGAAACCAGGAAACACTTTCATTTGTGATCTAAGGCAATTCCAATTTGTGTTTCGTCAACTGAAAGACTAAAGAATTAATTCTGCTAAGTACTTGAGCATATGCCTAAGGTCACGTGTGTGAGTTGTCCCATTAACTTCAATGAGACTATTCATGTGCTTAAAGTTTGGCTCATGCTCAAAAAGCTTGTTAACCTGGGCACTTCTATTCTTAGAGACAAGTTTGGTGTGCTTTCCAGTGGCTCTCAAACATTTTTACTGGTGACCCCTTTCACATAGCAAGACTCTGAGTGCGACCCCCCCCTTATAAATTAAAAACACCTTTTTATATATTTAACACCATTATAAATGCTGGAGGCAAAGCCGGGTTTGGGGTGGAGGCTGACAGCTCGCGACCTCCCATGTAATAATCTCATGACCCCCTGAGGGACCTCGAACCCCAGTTTGAGAACCCCTGCTTTATATAGTCAAATGAACTCAACTGGTATTCACAAATTAAAAAATATTTGACATTACAGATTTAATTATCTTTTTCCACTGCTCTTATGGTGAGGCTGCTATACTTAAACTGTCATGACATCTCAGGTGTTCATTAATATACCTAAAATGGTACTTGTGAATATTCTGGTGAATAAAAGCCAGTGATTCTACTCACTAACATTTGCAATACTTTTTATTCACTTGTTCAGAAGCATTCAGATGATTTTTGTATTCATAAGAATGTTTATGAACAGCAAATGTTCATAGTGTCATGAATAATAGCACGGAGAAATATTCCTGAAAGTATTTGGACCAGAAGTGTTTTCACAGTAATTTTTTATGCTTCACACAGTACATTTATCTAGTATTTCTAAGTGTTAGTGTATAATTTGCAAAGCAAAAAAAAAAAAAGACTATGCATGAGATTTTCAAAATGTTGGCATAAACTCTGCTCCCATTAAAGTCAACAGATTTTACCACAGATTTACAAGTGTCTGGATTTGCAATTTTTAATCCCACCAGACTCCACACATGCAATATGTGTTCATAACAAAAGTGTTCATGAATAGCTGAGACATCATGTCACGGGTTGTAAGAGGTGGGGTGATGAAATGTTGCCACACACAAATTCTGCCAACAAAATAACTAAAAGCGAAAGGGAGAAAGGGGGGAACAACCATTGTACTGAGGTCTGCTACATTAGTCTTTATTCAGAAAAAATAGAAGGGAATGGAAATCTTCTATTTAAGTACAACTACAGCACTGAGTTTTTACCTGTACTGACTGATGCTAATGACAAAGCAGAAATGCTCTTATAAAATATATATATTTGTGTATGTATAGTGTGTGTGTGTACGTACAAACAGGTTTCATCAAACAAAAGCTGCCTCATAATTCTATTTAATTTATCTTGTATTTAACTAATCCAAGTACATATTTTTTCTCTTCCCTTTCCTCTCGTTTTTACAGGGCCAAATATTAATGCTATTTTCTCCCTGGTGAGAACTATTTTATAAAATTATCTAAATTTGACACATTCGTTATAGTATTTAATTTACCAGCAAGAAGTAATTTTGTGCTATTGTATTTTTTAACCACTCATCCTGTACTGTAGTCCCATGCTGACCAGGATTATTCGTTGTATTAAACACCAAAGGACCTGAAGTTTTTATTGATGGCTAGTGTATATTGCTTTGTTCTTTAAACAAACTACAGATGTTTGTAAGCAAACTACACTTACCTTTGAAGCTAATTCCCCAGGATCCTTCTTTTCTAAAAATCCAGAAACTTTAGGAAGCTCATCATTATTGAGGTCAATACTCCATATATATTGTAATGTTAACAGCAAATTTCCATAAACAACCATGAAAGGTGAACTGATCATAGCATATTTCCTTCGGTCACGAATCATCCAAAGCGTGCAGGACCAGATCAATAACACAAAAGTCAACCAACTGTGATAAGTGATACTCCAAGCCTTGGAAGGGAGGGGATGGGAGAGAGAGACAAAAATGTTCATAGATTCACTTAGTTACAGTATTACTGCATACAGTCAGTAAAACTTTACAGCACTGCCCAACTTCACACACCTTGTCTAGGGTATATTTTCAGTGCGATGCATGGAGATTTAGCAATGTGACTCCCATTTATGTTAATGAGAATTGGGCTGCTGACAGCTACAGTAGATCCTCTGGACTACATGCAGTAAACAGATTCCTAGGAAATTTAGTTTAAACCACCTTTTTTTGGTCTGGTACTTTTGCGTCTTGGTACTTCAGTAGAAATGTTAGTTTAGGTCTCCCAGAGTTGAGCAGTGACTATAAAGCATGCTTTAGATTTCACTTTCTGTTGTACTCTAGATATTAGAGATGTAGTAGACTTAGACTGATTTAGCCTAACCCAACCCAGTGTAGCATTGTTCCTTACAGTATATTCAAATGTTCTGCTCATTTTACAGGTATCAAACAACACATTACTTAAAACTGTTCTGGACAAAACACCGTATTATAGCGTGGGAGGAAGTGTCTTTTTATTAAACACTGTTATTGATTTTGGACTAGATTCTGGTTGGCAATGCACCAGTATAAATCTAGAGTAACTTAGCTGAAGTCAACGGAGTCTTAATTTCTTCTTTTGTTTAGACAGAAAAGCATGAAATATTAAGAATATTTTAATCAAAGCTGGATTAGTCTTGACTCGATAAAGTGTCCACTATAGCCTCTGAGAATCATGTATATGCTATTCTTCCATTAAGATACAAGACTGTAACACGCACAATGGGTCACATTTGGGTATGGCATAAGTGGAACAGTTGCTGAATTTGGTTCACAACACTTGGAACATAGATCCTTCGGAGCTGATATTATCTCAGTTTGAGACTAGAAGAAGGCTCAGAACAATACAGCTCCATCACTGATACTGACAGATTTGAACCCTGAATGGAATTTAAAGTAATTAAAGCACATGTGCAGCAGTCACTTAAAAAAAAATGAATATACCACAGCAAAAAAATAACTACTTACTAACATTTCAAAAAGCACCATATTCAATCCAGATTCTGCACAAAGAATCTGCTATGTTTTGTTTAGCTCCAGAGACTTTTCATGCTAAGGAACAGCAAACAAAAGTCCGAAACCATACAAAATATCGGTTTTCTTTTGCTGTATGCAAACAAAAAGTGGCCAAACTATTTAAATTTTTTTTAAGGCAAGATTGGGCCAAGAAACTTTATGGTAAATTGTATCCCAGTTGAAACCTTTTCAAAATAGTAAAAACAGACTTTGGAAGTGCTGACAGAGAACTATCACGTTGTGAACTTGCTACAGTAGGGTCTTGGATTACAAGGCTAATTTGCACAAAATGACCCTTTGTTTTCAGGGATAGGCAATGTAATTTCAAAAAGAAGAAAATTAATCACAAAAAAATTTGTTGGCACAAAATTGTATTTTCCTAGATGTCTGCCCAGTGTAGATAAAAGAAATCAATGTTTATAGGTTTATTTTCATACAGAGTTTGAACTAGATGCATAGATTTAATCTGAAGTAGAAATGGCAAGTTTAGACTTACTGTATGACTATGAAGTGCTTTATTTTTGCAGACAATTTCTGAATTGAGTAAATGCATTAAAACCCACTTAATTTTTTTTTGAACTATCAGAAAAATGAGCATGTTGAGCATTTTCTGATCTGCCGCAGGTAAAAAAATACTAAAGCTAGAATTTTAAGCCCCGATCCTATAACGGAATCCCTGTGAGCAGAAACCTGTGCCCTGCCCCATAAGGAGTTGGTGGTAGGATCGAGGCATAATTTGAGGGGTAATGTTTTAATAAACCACATGCATCCAACAGATTCAAATCTCAGGTCCAGATTTTATAATGTTGAAGTAAACACCAATGAAAAATCAACACGACTAATCACCCTTCACCAAGACATTTGGAAGATAAATATATTGATGCTGTCAATAATGTGGCAGAAGCTCATTTCCAGAGTTAGATGACATCTATAATTAGATTATGTCTACTACCCCAACTCAATTATTTTTGTCTTTCATACGTACCATCATTGCAATCAGAGCACAAATGTAACTTTGTTTCATGATAAAATGGAAGACAGAGACCATGGCATGTATTTTAACATTTTCTTTTTTCTCCTGAATATCTTCCTCCTCTTCTTCTTCTTCCTCTTCCTCTTCTTTCTTTTCTAAGTAGAAAAAAATTCTTATGGTGCAATTCAAATAAGTCTAATGGCAGCGCATGTACACACAGTTCAAAACCCTACAGTCCTTGCACAAATTGAGTAAATCTTGCAGGAATCAGGCCATTGTATTCTGGTATAGTGAAGTCAGATGGTCCCCATACAGCAGAATGTTGTGCTACCATTACAGCACGCAGCCATACCAATATTAATAATTTTGATATCTTGACAATGACCTGAGAACCACAGGAAAAATCCACAGAAGTACAGTACATACAGTCATGTAAGGACATAAAACAAATGTGTTGGTGGGCAGACAAGTACAGTATTTTGGATAATATGCACCTGCAACTTGATTCAAAGATCTGCATGTTGATTGGTAGCATAAAAACATAAGAACTGTCATACAGGATCAGACCAATGGGCAATCTAGCCCAGTATCCTGTCTCTGAAAGTGGCTAGAGCTTCAGGAGTGTACAGAACAGGGCAATTTGGAGAGATCCACCTCTGTCCTCCCCTTCCAGCTTCTGGCAGTCAAAAGTTAGGGGTGCTGTCAGCATGGGGTTATAGCCCTGACCTCTTGGCTAATAGCCACTGATGGACCTATCATCCATTAACTTATCTAGTTCTTTTTTGAACCCAGTTATACTTTTGGCCATCACAACATCCCCTAGCAATGAATTCCACAGGTTAATTGGGCATTGGGTGAATAAGTATTTTCTTTTGTTTGTATTAAGTCCGCTGCCTATTAATTTGAGTGACCCTGGTTTTTGCATTGTAGGAAAAAGTAAACAACACTTCTCCATTCACTTTTTCCACACCATTCATGATTTTATTGACCTCTATCAGACCTCTCCTTAATCATCTCTCTTCTAAGATGAACATCCCTATTCTTTTTAGTCTCTTCTTGTATGGAAGCCAGATCATCTTTGTCTGAACCTTTTCCATTCCCACTATATCCCTTTTCAGATGGAGACTCAAACTCTAAAACTGTACTCAAGGTGTGGGTTTACCATGGATTTATTTTTCTGTCTTATTTTCTCTCTCTTTCCTAATAGGTCCTAATATCCTGCTAGCGTTTTTGACCTCAGCTGGACCTTCAACTCCAAGGTGACTCCAAGGTCTTTTTCTTGAGTGATAACAGTTAGTTTAGAACCCATCATTATACATGTGGATTTGGGATTATTTTTTCCAATGTGCATTATTTTGCCCTTATCAACACTGAATTTCATCTGCCAGTTGGTTGGCCAGTCACCCAGGTTTGTGAGACCCCCCCTGTAACTCTTTGCAGTCAGCTTTGGACTTAATTATCTTGAATAATTTTGTGTCATCTACAAACTGTGCCACTTCATGGTTCACTCTTTTTCCAGATCATTTATGGGTATGTTGAATAGGACTGGCCCCAGTACAATTCCCTTGGGGACCCTGCTTTTTACCTCTCTCCATTCCGAAAACTGACCATTTATTCCTATCCTTTGTTTCCTATCTTTTAAGCAATTACTGATCCCTGAGAGGACCTTCCATGTTATCCCATGCCAACTAAGTTTCCTTCCGAGCCTTTGGTGAGGGATCTCGTCAAATGCTTTCTGAAAATCCAAGTACACTGTATTGACTGGATCACCCTTATCCACATGCTTGCTGACACTCTCAAAGAATTCTAATTGATTGGCGAGGCATGACTTCCCTTTACAAAAGCCATGTTTCCTCTACCCCAACAAATTGTGTTCATCCACGTGTCTAATAATTTTGATCTTCATCAATTTGCTCAGTACTGAAGTTAGGCTTATTAGCCTGTAATTGCCGGAATAATCCTCTGGAACCCTTTTTAAAAATTAGTTTCATATTAGTTACTTGCCAGTCATCTGGTACTGATGCTTGTTTCAGCAATAGGTTACATACTACAGTTAGTAGTTCTGCAATTTCATATCTGAGTTCCTTCAGAACTCTTGGGTGAATATCATGTAGTCTTGGAGATTTATTGCTGTTTAATTTATCAATTTGTTCTAACAGTTTCTTAAATCTTATCAAGCTGCTTAACAAAAAATGCACAAGGCCAAGAATTTAACTATAGAGTAAATAATAAAATACCAAACACACGGGTTTATTCCCAAATAATTCATGTTACTACCTGACATGTCATCTGATGGCTCCCATTTATACTGTGGGGTTGAGTACATATCAGCTTTGGCAGGGCCATTCTCCAAGTGAAGTGTGGGGTGTATGGTGTGATAATCTACAGGAGTCCCATTCACTGTTACGAGCAGGACCTGCCAGACGAGGATTGGAGAAAGGCATTCCTTTTAGAAAAGCTCCTGTGTGAGTGAAACTGCTACTTACTAACTTCCATTAGGTACTGTTTCTAAAATATGAAAGAAACTTAATGAAATCATTTCAGCAGGTTTCTCTCTATGCTGAACAATCACACATTACACATAATGTTAACACAATTGTCCTAAGAATAATTTTAGCAGACCAATTTATGCTAAAAAGAATTACGACGCCGATTTCATTAAATTTTCTTTAACAAAACAGTAATAATTATGATGATGGTGCTTTGCACTTCTACAGTAACTTCCATCAAAGAATCTCAAAGCTCTTTATAAACATTACTTAATCCTCAAACAATCACTGTGAGGTAGGCATTACACCTATTTTAAAGACAGGCCTGAAGCATGGAAAGGTTGTGCCTTGTGTTAGGTGACACAGGCAATCTCTGGCCAACCTAAGAAAGAACCCTGATCTTCTGACTAGTTCTATGCCATAGCCATGAGTCCCATCCTTCTCTTTCATGCAGTCTTGTGGCTGGATATTTTTTAAGGTTAATTTTCTATCTAATGGTTTCCAGTACCGATGAAGATGATGGGTACAAATGATTTGCATTTTTAAATCAGTAGGGTGATCTGCATTTGTTACAATTAGTAAAATTTAGTTGTGTTTGTTACAATTGTTTATTACTCAATGTTTATGCCACTATTTGAATTTCCTTTCTGCAATGTGGTGTTGGCCATTGTCCTTGTTTGGCAAGGGTTTCTAGCAGCTGGCCAATGGAGATGGGCCAGTTTTACAGAACGAATCTCACTGCAAAAATATATTGTGTGGTTTCCTGATGCAGTAGTTGTCAGAAGGGCTGGGGGCCATATTCAGGTTTGGTTACAGCTGTTTTTAGGCTGCATGGCGGAGGAAATCTGCAGCCCCATTTGTTAAAGTATGGGACTGACACAGAGCATTTCCCCCTTCAGAATCTGCTAGGATTTCCTGCCTTTGGGCTGATTACTTTGTTGCCTGTTCAAATAAAGTTTCATACTTTCCACCATTTTAATATTCAACTCAGGTGTTTGGTCATTTTTGCAGGACCTCAGCAATTCAACATGAACACTTTAAAAACACATCACAAAGAAGGAATTAAACCAAGTTATAGGGTAGCTTATAGAAAAGCAGAGTTGCATGTTTTGTTTAAAATACAAAGAACTAAGGAAGATCTTTTGCCAGTGAGTACAACCTCAAATATTCTAATGTCATGAGAGATACTTAGTAAGTTTAAATAATCAAGATTTCGGATAATCAAAGGAGTTCTCAATGTAATTAACAACAGGGAGGTTTGGCTAATCAAGGTTTTAATATAATGTCTAGACTAATAAAAAGATGAGAATATTTTAAAATTTCATGGAAACTTGTGTCTGTTAGGTATATCATAGAATCAAAGAATATCAGCTTTAGAAGGGACCTCAGGAGGTAATCTAGTCCAATCCCCTGCTCAAAGCAGGACCAATCCCCAACTAAATCATCCCAGCCGGGGCTTTCTCAAGCCTGACATTAAAAACCTCTAAGGTAGGAGATTCCACCACCTCCCTAGGTAACCCATTCCAGTGTTTCACCACCCTCCTAGTGAAAAAGTTTTTCCTAATATCCAACCTATGCATAATCCATATATGCATAATCCATATA